ACTTAGTTACCTAAAGGATATTTAGTCTTAGTAATCCCCGGAGTAGTAAGCTTAGATTAGGTACATTATCAAAATCCACAACTGTATAGCACGGGGTTTATGGTGTGGATACCTTGAAAGTGGACGTTTAATCGGTTAAAGATAGAAAAATGAGGTTTAGTCATTCACATCATAATCTCCTTCGGTTTTTGGTACGATGCCTGTCACCACAATACTGATCTTCGAGCCGGATAGCGTCAAAAAAGATGTTTTAGTTGTATCTTGCTTAGCCATTTCCATTTTCTTGTCAGTTTCGTATGGTTTTTGAGGTTCTTCTACTGTATCAAAAGGCTTCACATAGTTTTTTGAGTCTTAGCTCCCGACTTACAACAGATTTAGCTCTAGTAGGTTTCTGACGTTACTTGTTTAAACAAATGTTTGGTAACGCAATTTCAAGTTTCTTGAATTTTGTAATTTCATGGAGAGTACATTCTTTATAATTGATTAATATATTATAGAAAAACTAATTTGCATACCAAGATGGCTGGACGCGTTACCACGTTGTCCGTTAATTTTGGCCTCCTGCTCTGCCTGTTTCTTATCTTGAATGGCATAAAACAAAACAAATCATCAACGAAGCCACTAAGCAATAGTAGCAACCTATATTTTGCTTCCCAAGAAGCTTGCAGGATTAAAATTCAATCTTTTCACTCTCTGGCACGGCGTCCAGCAAAACACCAAGCAGTCGGAGCTTTCCAGAAAGGCTTTATTACGTGCAAGCTTATACTTCATGGCTCTCTAGCCTTGGCTCTAATAGCGCTTGCCGGAGATGTTGAACTCAACCCTGGATATAGGAGTTTGGAGGATGTTAGGAGTTCACGAGGATTGAGGCTTGCTCATCTAAATATTCGAAGCTTGAGGAACAAATCAGACTCGCTGCGCCTGGAGGGTTTGGATAACAGAACGATCGATATTCTTACACTCAGTGAGACTTGGCTGGATGACTGCTATGAAGACTCTCATGTTATTATTCCAGGATATAATTGCATTCGCCTGGATAGGTCTGGAGCCAAAGAAGGTTTTGGTGGAGTAGCAATCTATGTAAAGGAAGGCTTGCCGTTTCGTGTTAGGAATGATCTTTACTCAGCCGCAAATGAATGTCTATGGATTGAGCTATCGCGCACTAAATGTCGCCCAGTATTGATTTGTTGTGCATATAGAGCCCCCGGTTTTGACTTTGCGAACTTTATTTCAAACTTGGAGATATCTATGACGAAAGTTAACCTGGAAAAATGTGATTTCGTGCTTCTTGGCGACCTAAATGCAAATATGCTGCCATTTTCAAGAAAGAAAGAAAAACAAGAGCTTAAAAAATTTGCAACTTCACACGATCTTACGCAACTCATTACTGAGGCCACCCGAGTGACGGAAACCTGTCAATCCTTGCTTGACGTGATTTTAGTGAACAATGATCACCGCATCAATGACTCCGGTGTTGTTCCTGTTTCGCTGAGTGATCACTACCTCGTCTATTGTGTTTTAAAAGCAGGTGTAATTAAGGCACCACCGAAGACAATTGAATACCGCTCTTATAAAAACTTTGATGCGAACACCTTCCTAGCGGACTTGAATAACGTCCCATGGCACATCATTGAAAACGAGGAAGACATCGACGACGCCGTGTTTATTTGGAATCACTTGTTTTCTGAAATAGCTGACCTGCATGCGCCCGTGAAAAGGCGAAGAATACGAGGTGTTCCGCTCCCGTGGTTGAATGATACAATCAGTGAGGTGATGAAGGATCGTGATTTTCACCATCGTAAAGCCGTGAAAACCAATTCTGCTTTTCACTGGGCTCGCTATAGAAAGTTAAGAAATAGGGTCAATCGTGAAGTCAAGGCAGCAAAATCCAAGTATTATTGTGACTTGATTTTAGAGGCTAAAGGGGATTCAGGAAAGATCTGGAAGGCGGTGAATGAGGTGTCTTCGCGCAAGACTAAATCCTCGAGCCCACAATGTATCGTAGTTGATGGTGTTGAACACACCACCCCAGCCTCTATTGCATCCGTGCTCAACTGTTATTTCTCATCCATTGGCAGAAGTCTTGCAAATAAAATATCAGCTGCTGCTATGTTCCCAGTCAGATCGGCCACGATGCTACAGTCTTTCTCGCTTGACGAAGTTGATGAGAAAACAGTACTCAAGCATCTGCTTTCTCTAAAGACAAATAAAGCTATTGGCTTGGACAACATCAGTGCGAGACTTTTAAAGTATGGCGCGCGTGCTATTTGTCCCTCGATCACCAAGTTACTGAATCTCTCTATTCGCACTGGCAATTTTCCTGAAATATGGAAATGCTCGAAAGTGGCTGCACTTTTCAAAACTGGAGATAGGAGAGATGCGTCAAATTATCGCCCAATTTCTATTCTGCCAACAATGAGTAAAATTCTGGAAAAAGTCGTCCATTCCCAATTCTATGACTTTCTGAATTCAAATAATCTCCTTTCAAGCAAACAATTTGGCTTCCGTCCCAAACTGTCTACAACATCGGCTCTCACCAGTTTTGCAGATGAGGTCCTATTGCATATGGAGAGTGGAGAACTGTGCGGTGCAGTGTTCCTAGATCTGACCAAGGCATTCGATACCGTTGACCATACGATCTTGCTATCTAAATTGTCGGCTATCAATGTCTCGCCCAGCACTCTACAGTGGTTCAAGTCTTACCTGAATCATCGTAAACAGCGGACTGCCTGTAGCGATGCTGTGTCTGACCCTCTCCCGATGACCTTTGGGGTACCACAGGGGAGCATTCTAGGACCGCTTCTCTTCTTGGTTTATATTAATGACCTTCCGCTGGTTATAAAGAATTGCGAAGTGACTTTGTATGCTGATGACACGGTCCTGTACTACTTTGCTAAAGAGCCACACCTGTTAGAAGAGGCACTAAATGATGATCTCTTGAAAGTTGCCCAGTGGTTACATGGAAATAAGTTAACTTTAAATCTTACTAAGACGAAATCCATGATTATAGGCAGTAATAGGAAACTTGTTGGTATTTCCTCTTTCACGTTATCTATTTTTGACACTGATATAAATTCTGTAAGTAGTTTTAAATATTTGGGAGTTATGTTGTCTTCAACTTTCACATGGTCCGACCATATTGAGTATATTTCATGTAAGGTTAATAAAAACCTTGGTCTTCTACGTAGGATTAAGTATTATTTACCTTATGATGCCCGGTTACTTTTTTATAATAGCTTAGTGCTACCTATTTTTGATTATGCTGATTTAGTCTGGGGTGACAAGGACAATGTCTCACTTATGAAGGAATTGCAAATTCTCCAAAACAAAGCAGCTAAGTTGATATTAGATAGATCACCTCACTCCTCATCCACCGATGCATTGATTGTCTTGAGATGGCTGAATCTTGAAGAACGTAGGAAATGTCATCGATGTATATATGCATACAAGTGTATTAATGGCCAACTTAATCATTCTTTGGACATTGTAAGAAAGAGTGATATACATTCCTACAATACGCGCAATAACGATACTATCAAGCTCCCCAAAATTAAATATAATTGGGGAAAACAACGTTCGCGGTACCACTGTTTCAAAGACTTTAATGAATTAGAGAGAACTGTAAGAAACTCAGCAAGTTTTCCAATTTTTAAGAAGTGTCTTTTTTCTGCTTTTTATAATTGAGTACTTGTAGTGTGTATGTTTTGATTATTTCTGTAACTGGATTTTAGCTTGAATTTTTTTTTTTTTTTTTTTTTTTTTTTATTTTTTTTTCATATATATCGATTTTAGCTTAACCTTTTTATATTTTAATTGTATTATATAATATACATCTCGTAATTAGGACCTCTATGTAAACCACTCTTGTGATGGAGCATCCTATTAAAAGATTGTTATTATTATTATTAGATATTTCCCCACCACAGTATACGATTTTTAACTCCTATATGCTTAGGGTGGGGCTTATTTGTTTTATTTTTTATAATAAAAAGACTTTGACAGTAATAATTAAAACTGTTAAAGGATAAAGTTATGAATTCTGGTCGTTCAGGTCATAATTTCGAACTTCTTTTTTGTTTTGTATATGGAATCTTTACGATACATCACTTCGTATGTGTCATTTGACTTTCAGTGACCGGTAATAAGTCAATGCATCGAAATGCAAAATAACTTTGTTCTGATTTCTTTAAACGCAAGTAGTATTGATGGTCTACTTGGCACACTCTAGGGAAGGGGGTATAGGGTATTGCTCAATTGCTCAATTGCTTAGACCTCTAAATTATTCAAGATGACGTCATCAAAAATTCAAGATGGCGCCTGATCGTCGGGTCGTCTTCTGGTCGTCTTCGGGTGATCTTCGGATCATGCTCGGGTCATATTCGTTATTATGAGTAAGGGAAATCGGAACTTACGTATATGTGGATGTAGGGTTCAGCTCACACTTGTGGGAGAGAATTTTTGTCCCCTTCGCACTTCGCATGCGCAGCGTACTGCGCATGCGCATTAAGAGAAAACGTTTGAAAACGTTTTTTGATGTCGGATCTCATGTTAGAAGACGAGGACTGTCCATCAACCTTTCATCAGCCTACCATCAACCTATCATCAACCTACCATCAACCTATCATCAACCTATCATCAACCTACCATCAACCTATCATCATCCCAACATCAACCTACCATCAACCCACCATCAACCTACCATCAGCCTGACATCAACCTACCATCAACCTGACATCAACCCGATACTATAAGGATCTCATGTTAGAGTAAAAAAGACAGACAAATAGTCACACCATCTTATTACATTGCAAATCACAAGTTTACATTCAAGGTTTACAGAGTTTTAAGATATCATTGGCAATGGGCACACAAGAAATCAAAGTCTCCGATGGTATTACTGTAAATGGTAGTCTTCTCTGTTTCTCTCTTCTTGGTTCGAATACGTTGTTTCAGGTCTTCAATCTGTTTCTCTGTAATCTAGATCTGTAAAAGAGTTCGCATCATTGCCTAGACATGTTCAATTCCCTAAGGACTTTATCTTTTCTGTCGCATACGTGCTCATAGTAAGAAACAGCTTTTTCACAAAAAGCGTCATATACTTGTTTGTTCCATTCAAACAAGAACGAGTTTAACGTTTCAAAGTTCAGCTCGTGATTGGAGATGTCTTCTACAATGAGGTCATGCATAAACTCTTGATACCCTGGAACCTTGGAAGTGTCTATCGCTTGTAGTAGTTGGTTCATCTCATTGTTACTATGGTCCATCGGGAATGAAGGCTTGTTGCTTCACACAAATACCATTTTTCATACACTATCAAGCGTTTTATTGAATTCACAGGAGCTGTAACAGAAGGATACTTGTAGTTTATCAACCTATTACATAAATAATGTTTAGTTTTATAATGTTCACATCGTTTCCTGTTCCCTAACCTGGCCACCATGGGTGTTCTCGCCTTCCGTCTATTAGATGATTTGCGTGTTGAATCAGGCGGGGTATCCAACAACAAAGGGAGTGCCATTTCCTCAGGTGAAATAGAAGGCATCGTTTCTATTCGGCGAGGAATTTTCGATTCCTCTGTAGTCACAGGTGTCGCAAGTAGTTTTCTTGGCATTTTTGTAGACTTTGATTGAGATGTATTGAGGTCTCTTTTCCTGGACGCCTCTGCAGGTGTACTTTCATCTGTTTTGCCGGATATCTCTGTAACAGGCAAAGGATCTGGTTTGGGCAGGACCACAGTCGATTTTGTCGCCGAGTCCCTTTTCATTTGTTTTGTCAGTCGTTGATACCGCTGTAGAAGTTGATCCAACATGAGGACTTTTTGGTCTTCTGGTAAAGGAGACTCTATGATTTGCTTCATGTCTTGATCTAATCTCGTCAGCGTCGGAAGTTGAACAGGAGTAGTTAAACGCCGTTCTGTCTCCATGCTCTGTAATAAATGTTCCGGTATAATCACCATCTTTTGAACGTGCTTCATTTGAACACTTTACCCAGTAAATCAGAGCAGTAAGGGCTGTTAAAAATCCTCCTTTTTGATTGAGCACTTCCTACTTCTGTTTAAGGCTCGGTTTCTTGCGGGTCAAATAGAGGAGCTTTGACTTGTGCGGTTTCAATCGTTTAATTGAATTCATATCTTTTCGTTGCTTTCCATTGCTTTTAAAAAACGCACAAAGAAAGGGTAGGTGCTGTTGGAATTTGGATTGTTTGGCAATACTTGACCGCTTTCGTTTTGTCCTTCTGGTCTGAGTCGTAGTGCCAGAACGTAAGACCATATTGCCGCCGCGTTGATTAACAACTCTTGACTTCACTGTGCCACCTGACTTACACGAAAGCATGGTGCTAACTGACGTCGACAGTTAGAGGTACGTCAACAAGAAAACCCATAAAACAGACGGAGACCACAGGCAAAGATTGTGAGACAGGCAGTATGTTGCTACGTAATCGTAGGATAGCCGGTGTTCGCGGATGTAAATCCAACATGAGATAACCATACGGCTGCGAGGTGGCATCTTGAAAACTTTCCCATACGTAAGGAACGTGCCCTNATTGTGAGACAGGCAGTATGTTGCTACGTAATCGTAGGATAGCCGGTGTTCGCGGATGTAAATCCAACATGAGATAACCATACGGCTGCGAGGTGGCATCTTGAAAACTTTCCCATACGTAAGGAACGTGCCCTGCAAAAGCTTGTTGAGCCAAGGTTTGGAAACCCAATGTATCACGAGGATTATTAAAGGCAATGATGTAATGGGCATTGAGAGAAATACTTCTTGAAAATTTTCCCGGTGGGAAAAGGTTCTGCGTCACGTAGATGCAGGTGACATCACAATGATGAGACACTTTTGTGAACAGGTCCAGAATACGTTCGTCCTCGCTACAATTCCTCATTAATCTACTGGAAATAAAGCCGGAATATCTTCAGGAATACCCTCTAAAAACGTAATCTGTGACGCCATGTCCTGAAAGCATTCTTGCCACTGCCCATAACAGTACACAATTTTACGAATAGGTCTTTCAAACAAAACGTCTGCATACTGAAGTAATAGTTTTGTGAACGTCGTATTTCCACATTGACTCGGCTCTGCGATCATTACACTGCGCGGGCATTTGAACTGAGCCATGCTGCCCACACAGAACGAAAAAACAACTGATGCCAAAGTTATTGGTGCCTTTCTCTTTATAGGGGTGTATCTCAAGTCCAATACAAAATAAACACATGTTTATTTTAAACAACACTTTATTGATTCCTTACGCTAACATTTGAATGACTTACAAGTTTGTTCACTCTGAAAGAACGGTGACCTCTGCCTAACACTTGTCAACGATTTTACATAGCTGTTAACAAATGTGGCTACTTGTGCATCATTCCACTGTGTATCGTGCGACCTAAATTTAGCTTGGATAGCGTCCATATCAACACTGCGTGCTCGATGAAATAAATAAAATAAACAGTAGTCTCCACAAGTGTCTGAAGTAAATCCCTGGAACGGTTTGTTGTTGTAACGCGTAACATCTCGCTCTATGTATCCATCCATGCCATAGGTATCGGGAGGAAACCCGTAACTGTCAAAGAATTCACTTTCCCACGGAGAAATAGAATACATGGCCACCTAATGTGTCCCGGGCTGATCATGAGGGTCCGTATTTGCGATCAGTCCCGAAGGATATTTGTTAACGATAGGTAACTTGTCTCTTGGGAAGACACCTTACATAACGGGAGCTAAAATGGGGTCTTGTAGTGCCGCTTGCGATTAGGAATCAAATGATCCGGATGGCCACTTCCTGCTGGTGTTGTGTCCAAGCGAAATAAACCATAACCCTGCTCCCATTATTCTCTGTCAATGTCCATATCATGACCACAGTTCGTATCACCACTGCCTGAGCAAAGTGTATTGTAGCCATCGATTTTCTTGCCACCTATCAAGTCGATGCCTGAGTACGGCATTTCTTCTCCATTGACTGTTAGACAAACAGCGTGCAGATCAAACAGCTGGAAGTTGAATGGGTTCCCCCCAAGTTTCCATTGTAAGCATCGTTTCGCACCATTCCAAATATGATGCATTGGGGGATGAGACCATTGGATAGATCGGTCTCTGTGTGATTTAATACTCCTCTGGGAATGACCCTAGCATGCGTAGCGGTTCTGGTTAGTATATAGATTGCAGGAAGTGCCTTCTGACCCGTCATGGTGTTTACGTGATCCAATTTAGTGCTGTCTGCCACATGAGCAGTACGTACACCGAGCGTTCTTGACACTATTTGTAACTTGCAATGGTTGGCATCTTCACCACCCATCAGACTAAATTCACTGCTGTTAAGATCTATCTTGATTGATTGATCAAGGTTGAATACATCACACAGGGGTACACCAACCATTCCAACTTCAGCATCTCCAGTGGTAAAAGAACCTCTCTTCTTTAGACCCAAATTTTGAGCTGCTGTATTATCCACCTCATCCATTTGCCCAGCAGTGTCTTTGTAGTACAACGCTTGTGTCAAGTAAGACTTCTTGGCCTGATCAGTAAAGTTAAGAAAGGTCTTGATATAAGCATTGTAGGCTTGTGTGTCTGATTGTTCTGTGACAAGGGTTTCATTGATCTTGATAGTGAACTGTTTGATGATAGAATGAAGAATGTTGTTGATCAACGTACATTTCTTCCCAGCTCCTGTCTCTCCTCCGTTTCGTTTTGTAATTTTCACCATCAGACGAAGTTCAGTCTTGTTAATGTCGATGTAATCGGACAGAGGTTTGATCACAAATTCTATGGGATTGGTGCCTCTCCGAATTGGTTCATAGTCCACCCATTTACTCTTGACAATAGAAACATCGTTGACCGGCACTTCGAATAACTGCAAACTGGAGTTAACTCCTGGAGCACAGAAGGGATGTGCTGAAGCCATACTCAGTCAAAAATAGTCTTGAACTTTGCTGACGATGTTCGCGCTTTCCTGACTTGTCTTGTACTGACAGAATTCGCTTTTCGTTTGCGTTTTATACTTTTCCACGCCCTTGTTGTTGCGCCATGTCCCGAAAGGCCTCAGTGAAAAATTGTTTTCCGGCAGCTTTGCTCTCGTTTTCGCTGCTTTCTTCAGTGATTGCCCATTCATAACATCTTGAGCAATTTGCACTCCTGTGTCTAATCCAGTGGATAGTAACCGTTTTCCCACTTTCTTTGCAGCGGTATTAAGAAGAGGTGTTGCTGTTCGAAAGAGAGAACGAAACATTCCTCCCAATCCATTTCCACCTTGACCATACGGGTGTGTTCCTCCATAGATACTAATATCTCCTTTACCTCGTTGCGCAATAGGAATCCCATAGCGCTGGTAAGGATAAAATTGGTGGTTCATTGGTAGAAGCATCTTACAGAATTGTCCTTCGTCGAAAGTGTAATGTTACTCTGACAGCACCAGACGCAAATGATATCAGTCGACCTGTGTCGCTTCTTATATTCATTTCCAATGAGGAGAAAATAGATGTTCGCAATCGATGATAGGTAGGGCGTTTGATTTCGTCTGTTACCATTTCACCCGGCTGACTGCGAGGTAATATCATACGCAGCAGATTGGCTTGTTCATCCCCTACCACTAAGGACTCTATTAGGTCAGAGTAGACATACATGGTTTGAAACGAATGCTTGCTTAACATTCCCCATACCAATTCGTCGTTTCGTCGTATCGTGGTGGTGGTAGCTGTAAGGGTCACACTCTGGTTCTTATTTAGTTGAACAGATGTAGGACTACTGGTGCGATAAAGGGCTGGTACGAGATCTCGATGGTTCAAATACCCTAAAGCTCGAGCCAGGTTCTTGGGTAACAAGTACAATTCATAATAATATTTGACTTTTTCGTGAATGTAGAAATATTCTTTGCCTCCAAGACGTTTGATCCTCTTTCCACTCTTGATATAAATGTCGGGAAAGGCACTTCCTAATCCTGTCACCATACCACTGATCAAATCCTCGACTGTTCTGAATGTGTCTCGGGGTAAATATATCGGTAAGGTCCATTCCTTTTCAACATTGTAACGCAAAAGATAGGCGCTTGATTGCTGTGTATATTTTCCCAAGTATGTGGGTAAATAATATGCTTCATGGCCACTTCCCAATCCTCACTCAGATGCAGTTGACTTGGGAGTTGCATTTTGAAACTGGAAGGTGTGTTCTCAGGATACTGATCTATGCTTTCATCACTGGCTACCACGACATAAAAGCTACTACTCATCTTGTTCTTCTCCGAAAATGTAGTACAACGTTCACTGTTCCACCTTGAAATGATATAGGCTGACCACATCCACTTGTTAAAGAGCTGTCAGTCGTTTGAGATGTCTTGGTTCTCAAGGGTAGATATATTATGTGTTCAGGCTGCTCCATAACTGTCTGTCGGAATGAGCCGTGTGGTACCATTTCGTGTAACAAAGCCAGTCGTGTGTCACCGACCTGCCAAGGCTTGATCAGATTCCTGTGTACTTGGACTACTCAGTGTTTACAGCGACAAAGAGAGACTGTCTGAGGTATTTGATAGGTACCCCGAAAAGTGATAGAGTTACGGATGGGCAGCACACACCACGTATATCCAAAATCATTGATCAATGAGGGATTCATTTTTACACCCATCATGTTTACTTGACGAGATTTGTTTTCACTGTTTATCCGTCCAAGTGCTTGGGCAACAGGGGCTGTCACCATTATCCACACGTCTTGAGATGTGATTGTTACGTTCCACTCATTATCAATAGCTTTGTTCAAGTGCCAGGGTGTGGGGGCTTTGTTCATGCATTGAAACAATCCTTCTACCACATCTAATGCTGTTCGATGCCTTCCAACAGGTAAGGTGAACTTTTCAATGTGCTGACTTCTGAATCGCCGCAACATGAGATGGGGTGGTTGCATTGGTGAGGGACTTCGAACCAAGAGAATGGATAAATGACATGATGAAGTCCAACTTCCCAATCTTCTTCGTCTGGTAAATGAATTTGACGAGGTAATACAACACGGTAATACGAAGCTGAGTTGGTAGGAAATAAGTTCGTATCGGCATTACTGGGAAGTATAACGTAAAAATCTCCATCCTGTTCCGTGTTTACTGTAAGGACATTAGCTGCTTATAAGGAATCCAGCCATCGTATTTCTTGGGCCAGCCTTTCCAATGAGCCAACGCTTCTTTGGAAGCACTTTTTCCACGATACCTTAAAATTTTTTCAATGCGAAACAAGTGATCTGGCTTTTCTAGTACTTTATGTAGCTCTGGCTCATAAAAGGTGCCTTGAATGAAATCACCGTCTGCTTCCTTTAGGCGATACACTGGAGGATCTCGGGGTATTCGTTGGGCAATGGTAAATGTCTCCTCCGTCCAGGATGGCAGATAACCTTTCTGAAAGATTCGCTTGTGCTTACTGATCTTGACTTGATCTCCTACCTTGAATTTATACTTGGTGGGGGCTGATTGTTTACCGTACAAGGTTCTCCAAACAGCATGTTCATTAGACTCGTCGACATCGGCCGGTTTCATTTTGATGCTTCGGTGTATACTCTGATCGTAATTTCCGTTGACCAAGCCATCTAGTTTGTCCAAATAATGGTAGGAACTGGTCGTGGTAAACATTCTCCACATTAATTGCTTGAGAGTCCTGTTGAAGCGCTCAACCACTTGGGCTTTGGTTTCGTTGTATGTCACAAAAAAGTGCACGTTTTCCTCTTTAAGAAATGTTTGAAAAGCTATGCTTTTGAATTCAGTTCCAGCTTCTGTTTGCAACTTCTCAGGTTTACGCCCTTGTCGAAATATCTCCTTGAATGCTGCCACAAGCTCCTGGCCGGTTTTAGTCTTGAGAGGAACCACCCACGTAAACTTAGAAAGCACATCGATACAAGTCAACAAATACTTGTAACCACGGTTCCATTGACCGAGACTTTGCAAGTCCACTAAATCAGCTTGCCACTAAGAATCTATCCTAAAAATAATTACTCTGTTGCGACGAAAGTGTTTTCTTGCAGGTTTGTGTAGTGTGTAACCGGGTTGTAATTGCAACCATTCAAGTGCTTGAGAGCGAGTTACTCCATATCGATGGGCTACCCGATATAGTTTGTCCACACCACCCAAAGCTGAAGGACGGTCTAGTTCATAG